TAACATTCTCCAAACCTAACTTGGAAAACAGAGTTTTGGCGCGATGCCAACGGATTATTATCCTTTCAGGGTTCATAGTACCGATTTGTTATATTTCAGTGATCATAAAATTCCACTTCATCTCCTATGGACGATATTTTAATACATTTTGTTTATTTTCGCTCCAACAGTATTTTGGCTATTTGAGCATCACTCAAAACCAGAGTTAAGTTACGATTATTGTTATTTTAGGTTTGTAATGATTCCTAAAAATAAATCTACTTTTATTTCGAGACTGCTAGTTTAAATTTTAGATTGGTGTATTGTATTTGGGTATAACACGAATAATTCTTAGTAACTAATTAAATAATAAGTAGATACCATCTTCTTGCTTGATTTGCATGTCGAACAAGCAATACAAGATAACTTCTAACTATCAAGGCAGATCTGAAAACTGTTAGGTCCTTACAGAAATTGCTTTTATAAGGAAAATCCAAAACGAAGTTCAAATTCAGTTAGATTGGAATCGATTTTTTCCTTGCAATAAAAAGTCAAAAGACAAATAATAATCTATTGGATCTATTCGAGCGAGAGCTACAGAATCTGTGTGTTTTAGGACATTCCAATGGCAGCTCCTCTAATTATGAACCGTCTGTTCTACACACTATGTGACCACAAAATAAGTTGGGCACCAGCAGTACGTATTGTGTGAGCTAGCATTGTTTTCAACCAGCGCTGAGATCAGAGTTGTCTCTAGCCCTTTTAGCGCTCGTTGCAATCATTAACCTAGCAGCCTCTAGTAGACGCATGGTCAAAATGAAATAGTGGTAAAACGCTAGGCGCTCCTGAGACCGCTGCGCCCGTGTGCACCATAGGTAAATCGCCTTTGGACTGGGAATAGAGCACTCACAACAATCTCGGCTTCTTCTTCTTCTTGGGCGCTACACTCTTGACAGAGTGGTCGTGGTCGTCACATCAGGATTGGTGGTGCGCTTCACAATACGCCGCCATTCGTCCCGCACTGCGGCCTTTCTCGTGCACTCGTGAAGTGGACCGTTCAGTGCCGCTTTTATCTGGTCAGTCCAGCGCATTGGTGATCTGCCGCGCGCCCTTACGCCCTCGACTTTGCCCTGCACCACCAGTCGTTCCACTGACGCATCTTCTCGGCGTGAGATGTGACCAAAGAAAGTTAGAATACGACCTTGTACGATGGAAGACAGACGTTGTTTGATGGACAGGTCCTGAAGGATGGATGCATTGGTTCGGTATTGTGTCCACTGTATGCCAAGCATTTTCCTCCAGCACCACATTTCTAGAGCGTCTATCTTCTTGTTCTCACTCTCTCGCAAGGTCCATGTCTCAGCACCATAGAGGAATATGGGAAACACTAATGCCCTGACGAGTCGTGTTTTCGTGGCTTTTGTGATGTTCCTGTTTCTCCATATTGTTTGAAGTTTGTCCATAGCTGACCTCGTGATTGCCATGCGCCGCTTGACTTCATCTGCACATCTCGGCTTCATAATATCTAACTTTTCCAACATGAATTGCAATTGTTTAGTTTGCAATCGCTAAAAATACATAAACCATAATCGTCAGATCCTTGAAAGCCGCAGAGGCTGACATCAGCGCTGAACCAACACCATTACCAATATTGTTTTCTTAGGCAAAATTCGCTTGGGCCAGGTTTTGTACGGTTCTAATGAGTACATCTATCTATTGTGATAATTGTTTCCGATTGCCAATTTTTCATGTAAGTAAGGAAGGATATTATTCAAAATCTGCTCGCTTTTGTGTAGGTTGCAGCCGAGATCGCACCTTTATGCAGTACTACTCTCGTGTACCATCCAAGAAATCAGCGTTCCTACTTTGTTTTACACAATTCATGCAGTACCCATTTTCAAGCTTTCTCGTCTCCGATTCTTTTTAAGTTCAGTTGTTTCATCACTTATACGCCTCAAGCCTGCCGTTAGCTCTGACGTGGTTAATCATGGGTCTAATGGAGTGGTTTTAAATTCTTCATTGTTTCTGTAGTTTCTATGGCCTTCCATTGACTTTGTTCTATTGGGTAAAATTTCCAAACCGAAAACTTTCTAACAAAAAACGTACATAGGTACCTACCAGTTTTCTTTCCAGAAGTTTCCCCATAAATTGATCGTTCGTCTGTAACATTGTTGCCAACTTGCCACAGTGAAACTCGTATTCATAAATAATGCGATATATCTTAAATTTCCATATTATAAACAGTTCTGTCAAAGAAAAATATCCGATGGCTGGCTTTAAACGAATTCCCTGAATCCGTAAATAATAATTTAGCAATGACTAGCTAGTTTGTTATTTATCCTAGACACGGGAAACTACTTAAATTAGTTAATATGTTAGGGAAAGTAAGCGTCATTTGATTGTAGACTCGACAGGTCATTAGTTTATTTTACTGAGTGAAATAATGAGTTGTTATTTCGATGCCATAAAATTCTAAGCTGTTTAGGTGTTTTTCTGCCGAACTCGGCCGTCAATCATCAATTAAAAATAATTCTAAAAGTAGTATTTATAATATAGGTAATATTCTATTGCTAGCCCGATTTCCACATAAAAATAAATAAAGTTTGGATGGATTTTATCGGACAAAACTCTTTTCTGTTGGTACAAATCAAATGTGCGGGCTCCGTTGATGCCTGTGAACTATTAAGATATTAAGTATGTAAAACATTACCACTGCCTATGCTACTTAAGTACATTATATTTCCTATAGTTGCTCACAAATTCCTCCAGGTAAGCTTTACCATATCTAGGTATATACGGATCATATTATTATCCTCGATCCACTCGCCCGCAAGATTATAGAAATTTGCGATGAGCCGATAATCATTCCCGCACTAATTACGACATAAGTTGCGATCGCTAATTGGCGTCTATGCTTTCGAACGACGGCGGTCCGCCCATGGCGTGATTACAACCATCGGAAACGCCATTTTACACACGCCCTTCGGTTGGTGCATATTGGACTCTGTGTAGGTGGTCGTAAGAGCTATGTTGGCGGCTTGTTTAAAGTTGTTAGGTCGGACGGGCTGGCGCGGGGGTGGGGTGCGGCGTGGCGGGGGTGGGGCCCCCCCTCCCTTCGCCCCGCCCGTGCGCCCGGCGGCCAATCAGAGCGCGTCGGACGAACGAGCTCACCTTGCCCACACGTCCCGGGTGATCCTTTCGTTTTTTGTTTTTTTTTTGTTGTTGTAGTCGTCGACGAGTGAATGATTTGATTACTGTTCCGAGGTAAAGATTTTTTATAGGTAGGTAGCCTCTGTTTTATTGTAGGTATGCAGGTAGGTAGGTTCAGTAGGTTGTCGATTAACTTTGATTAATATTCTAGTGAAGTGATTAATAATCTTTTCTACTTTTATAAATAGAGACAAGAGTTTGTCAATACAAGTAAAGTTTACTTAGAACTCTTCGTTTAGGTAGAATATAGCTACTAATACGTCAACTAGACAGCACTCATCATCACTTTTGTCATTTTTGAACGCCTAATAACAGAGTCATCATACGGGCCCCTATCTAGATTCGTGAGTGTAAACGACTACACAGAGGCAGCCCGGACCAACGAATTATCATGCCTTCACAAAGAAGTAAAATTTAGATTTACACTCCTATGACCTGTCGCTTCGAAAGTTGCTGAACTTCCACGATCGCAGACCGATCACGCTAACAGCTGCCATGGAGCTACTCAGAACTTTAAAAACCTTCTTACCTGTATTGAATTGTCATAAGATTAAGTGATATTTATCTTTGTTTCCAAAACAATATTTCATCTTTTTCTTAATTAACAAATGCCGCACCTCAATACAAAGTCAGTGCTTTCATAATATTTCACCTCACCCTACGTATACAAAAACCAATAAGACGCGAGGGTTCACCGTTCAAGTTCAGTATTGATACGCCCTAATGCGCAACGGCGTCAAGACAAATCCGACCTTAACTAAACCCATTAAGACCCCGATTCGGTTTATATTGACGACAAAATTAAGTAGAACCACTGTGAAACGTCTGGCGAAGTTATAACAAAGTGCTTTCTACCCTTTCGGATTATTGCATCAAACAGCTGATGTTTGAAATCGAGCAGATGATAACAAGCTACCAGATTCTAATCGAGCCTTCATTGCTTGATTGAAAATTAACTTCACACTTACATTCCATTAACATAGGTGTATCAAAAGTACACATCATCAATTTACACGAATGATATCGTCGAATACGCCAAACTTAAATCTCGTGCTGTCCTAGTTTCACCAATGGACCATCGATCGGCCTTTAGCTACACTTCCAGTACGTTTTATCTACGTCACAAATAACTGACCTATATATCAATAGCATTCTGATAGGAGTAATTTAGTAGTTGCAGGTATAAACACATACGCTGCAATTTAGTCATCTTATTGCACTCAAGCTTATAGCTTATAGGTTACTCAAAACTTAATGTTCACTCCCGACATCAAACTTCTCCTTGCCAAATAAAACAAATTAGTGCAGTATTATGTGTGCAAGTCCCTTGCCGGAGTGTCGTTGCATGCGGATCTAACGCAAGGCGCCCTTATGTGAGGGTAATAAGGTCAAAAGTCCCGGGACTGCGGGAGATAGCCGCTCGGCGCAGCTGGCGACCGGCGGCAGGTGCGCACCAATACGCTCTCGGTTACTGCCGCGGCGCGGTAACCTGGTCGCCAATATTTTATAAAATATAAATATTAAAGTCCATTCTGTCAGTTGTCTCAATCCGGATATAGAAACCTAGGTTGTTTGTATACGTAACCGTTTCGACTAGGTACTAAATTACTTAATTTTGCGAACCTATTTATAAAATGGCACATCCACTCTCCCAAACTTTCACTGTAATATTATCGCTTACGATCTTTAAGGTTTTATGCAACCCTCTCGCTACTTTGCGTGCACGCCACCGATCAGTTACGCCACGTCACTCCAACGGTGCACATGTTTTCGAAACAAATGCGTTAACCGTAAAATTTTTGTTTTTTCAGAACAAAGTGGAGTACTACGTGAAATGGAAAGGGTGGAAGCCAAAACACAACACCTGGGAACCGGAGGAGAACATACTCGACCCGCGGTTGATCCAGAGCTTCGAGCGAGGCGAGGAGATGAGGCGGCAAGGTCGAAAGCGGGAGCGGGAACATTCGCCTTTGGAACGCGCCCGCAGCGGTTCCGAGGAACGCCATCCGCCGCCCGGCAAGCGCAAGGCCGAGGTGCTCTCCCGGGAATCAGGCAAGATCGGGGTTACCATAACGATGAGTCCTCCGGCCAAACGCCACGACTCCACCAAACTCAACGGAGTGAGGACTCCTCATAGCGCTCAACCTCCACCACCCGCGGCGCCGCCGGGTGGAGCTGCCGCCCCGGCCTCCCCAGCCGCGGAAGCCGCCGCACCGAGAACAGGTCCGAGAAGGGCACCGCACTCCCCTGAAGAAGCCGACCCTCACATGCCTCCCGAACGAGAGAGACGCACTGACTCGCAGCCTACGGCGACTGCGCCGGCTGAACCCAAAGGCGCTCGACCACCTCCCCCTGCACCGCAACCCGAAGACGAGGACTCATGGGGCGAAGCGCCTGCGATCCCTCCACCTCCGCCGCCACCGCAACCCCCCCGCCGAAGTGCCGCCTATTGGATGGCGCGCTCCCCTGTCGCTGACCAAATCTTCATCACGGACGTGACTGTCAACCTTCAAACTGTGACCATTAGAGAGTGTCGCACCGAAAAGGGTTTCTTCAGATCTCGAGGACCCAGGCCACATGATATCACGTAAGACATGAAAGATGTGAGAACAATAATGTACAGTTGTAGATAGCTAGAACTCGTATTTATTTTGTTTATTTTCCTGGTGGATGTGTCAATCAAGACCTAGCATTGTGAAAACAGAATTCCTCAAATATAGGCATAAGAAAAAGTGGTTGCTGTGTAGTGTGTACACAATCCACTCCAAATTATTCCATCTAGTGAACAGGATCACTGTGGCATGGCGGTGTGAAGTGTCTTGGTTTTACCAAAACAAAATATTGTGGTCAATTGTTAAAGTAAGATATACCTAACTACTTTATTATTTGTTGAAAGTATTGAATAAAATATTGTTTGGTAATACATTTAAACAGGCGCTGCCCTTTATTATATTTTTGTAAAGCTATCAAATTAGTTTATGAGTAATGAATAAGGTGTATAGCCAAGGGGTTTTTGTAACTTGGTTATTTTGTTGCGGCCGGGTTGTTTGATACATAGTTAAATGTAACTAAAGTTAAAAATACTATAGAAAAAATAACCATTTGTGTAAATTTTCGCATTCTACTATGTTTTTGAGGTAACATTGACTTTATAATAGTCAAATTTAACTATGTATCAAACAATATGTATTGATAGAGGTTTCATAGAAGCACCGAAATAAATAATTCTAGGCCCTGTGCACCGGTATTCTAGATGCGTACAAATACAATAAATATTTTTATATCTTCATATTTATTCCGCATACGATATTTCTTAAGATAGATAAAGAAAAAGCTGTACTTGCTCATGAAAAATTTGCGGCACTGAAGTTAGCCACGAGTAGAAGCGGACAAATTTGACACAGGAATATTTGGCACAGATTCTGGCTATCTTCCGAGCCGGAATCTTCAATGGTCTCTAAACAGTGCAATGTTTCCCCCTATCAAGTGAGCTTACTATGTATTTGACAGAAACCATCTGAATGTACGAATCTCTCCCAAACCTTATTTTTATTGAAGAAAATAACACTGTATTATTCACATTTCCTTTTATTATTGTTGTTGTTATTTATATGAATTTGTTTAGCATCCCATTGTCCTGTAAGTTGTTTATATTTTGTCTGTAATAAACAAATTTATGTAATAACTTGTTTAAACCTCAGAATAATTTACTGACTTTTTTCAAGAGTTTGGTTATTGAATACAAGAAATGAGTACAAATGAAATTTTACTATACTAGGTACCTATGTAGTTGTTTTAAGTCATTACATTAACTAACGAAAGACTATGTACATAAAAAATTACTATGACTATCTGGACGTAGCTATGCAAACTGGATTCATCATAATAGGGATGATGACTATTTCTTTTTTCTTCGTTTATCAGGTAGATAGATTATCACAAAGTATTGGACACGTATTTTTTCTTTTTTCACATAATATAAACATTGCAGAGACATATTGATTTGAAAAGTCGCATGACGCACGTTTTGGTACAATTTTCACTTAAGTGACGTCACGAGCCCCTACTCCCAAACTTTGACGCGCTATAACTTTGTCATTTTTGGTTGATTGCCCAAAGAAAAAATACGTGTCCATTTTTTTGATCATCTAACTGACGGACTAAATAGAATTTCGTTTACTGTACTCCCTCATCACCTCTATTCTATTAAGGATAAATAATTTTGATTCTGGAAATATTAACTTCTTAAGTATTTTTTATAATAATTTATGTTTTGATTCAAATTGCTATGACTTATATAAGTAAATACAATGTTATAATTTGATAGATTTATCAAATAAGTACCTAAGTGGATCCGCTTTGTATAACTTCATGCAATTGCTATTGAAAATTTAGCTTAAGTGAATCTCCTCCATGTATGTACTGTGTTAGCCAAAAATCAAACTCTTGAAGTACAGTATAATTTTTATTATTTATAATGATGGTTTATAAAATGAACTGATTGTTTCCTGTACATTTAATACAAGCTAATAAGTTATTTTAAACTATTTTAGTTTTAATGTGATTTCGGACACATGATTTGTGTTCCTTGATTTTATTGTTATTTAGTTCCTGTATTGATAGAAAAGTGATAATTTTTTATGATAAAGTGGAGCTGTTCAGTTGTAATTGCATTTTGTGTCAGAAAAATGGTGACACTGTATATAATTGTACATAGTTTTTAGATAGTAGAACACACGTTTTTTATAATGTGATAGTCCCCTCACATTGTAGTCTGTAAATAAATGAGAATGTATTAGATGTTTCGTTTATTTTTTGTCGACAGAACCTATGCTTATCTAATAGTTTATTAACAAAGTAATTTTAACTTTGGCCCAAAAATATATTTTGATATTGACTCGAAAGTAGAGATTAGCTACCCTATTTACTTGGTGAAACTCCGACGGAAATTTACGTATCAATAACTGACCCATAATTACAAAATTAGCTGGTAGGAATTTGTTGGAAATTGCATTATTTCGTTTTACTAAAGCCGCATATTCATTAGGCAATATTTGTTTATAAACTGTTTATGAATTTCATTAAGTACCTCGTTTATAAACAAGTTTACCGGAAACACTGTTTCTAAAACTTAGCCGTCCACTGTGTTGCTCTGTGCTGCTTACGTAGTTAATTCATAAGAGTATGTGAGCATAGAAACCTTGTCGTTGGACCACACTACAGTGATGTTTAACATAGACTAACCATTTCGCAACACACGTCCACACCGTTTAAATTTTGATTATTAACTAAATGTTTCGTGTTGCTCTCCATTTAGAGTGGAGAACACGGTAACATGTATCTGAAACAATGTTTCGTCACTTTTGTTTATAAACTGTATACCGACGTTAGAAAGCGAAACTTCTGTATCTGGAAAAAATCAAGTATACACCAGAACAAAAAAGAGTGTTTAAAAATTCATAACTCGAATATTTATGAAAATAGAAAATCCAATTTTGGAAATTCTTTATATCAAGGGCTATAAAACGCAATCAACAAAATTGACCTGAAGTTAGTCCTCCACTTGTTTTTGAGGAGATACTGCATTCGAGTTTTCAAAGTTAGGCAATGCTCTATCTGAGAGAAATTGTATGAAGAGTATAAATTGATATACACTTATCTGCTGTAACTGTAATATAAATCAATAAAAATTTGTTAATTCTGCGGCAAGCGACTTCGTTTAGCAAATTAAAAGAAAGAAGAATAAAATAGAATATTAATATTTTTTACAATGGAATGTGCTGTATCTATTCCAATATACTTATGTTTTTATTGGATCAGCAATAAGATAAAAAAGCAGTAAAAAAATCCAAAATAGCTGACGTCGCAATCTCCGAAAACGAACGTTTTTATGATTTTTTTTATTAAAGTTTGATATCAGCGCTTGTAACCGGTTTCGAAAATACCGGTAAATAAAGGTTAATACCGGTTTTTAGTAAAGGTTTCGTTCGGAGCGCGTCCGAAATGAAAGCGGTACCTAAAACCTTAATAAACCGGTTTAATCCAGAGCGACACGTGCACGCGTCGGCATCTCTTGAAGTTTTTTTTTGTTTGAACTAATCAAGAAAGACACAACTTGTTGATGCTCAGAGATTGATGTTTTTATAGACACGTTTGCTAGCGTCTACTGAGTCAAGTTATTTAGTTTGTAGTTGTGTACTGACACACTACTTCACTCGTTCTTCTGTAGTTGGAAAGAAACTGACATAAAATCATTATAAATATGAATTGAAACGGCGAAGGCGATGCCGTCAGTAAGAGCGAAATGAAACCCTTTAAAAACCGCTAAATTGATTCAAAACCTATTTGATTTCGTTTTTTAGGAAAACCGGTTTTTTAAGGTTGAGGTAGAGCCAAACCTAAATAAAACGCTCCTAATGTACTTGATACTGATTTAGGTTTGAAAATTAACCGGTAAACAAGCCCAGTTTGATGTCTTTAAAACAGCATTAATACAAATCTAATAAATCTTAGGTCCTCATCGAAGAGTGCGATGGGGAAATAGAGACAGTAATCAAGTGTTAAAATATTTTGAGTACTGTAATAAGGCCCTGCGCGGTATCGAAGATCTCATTGAGTGCACGTACTGTGATAGTAATGATATTTGCGAATGTTTTAATTATGACGAGCATCGTATGTTTATAAATAATTTTTATGATGATATTGTCACAGTATTACAAACAGGTGCTAAATTGACTGCAGAGTGTCGCTCTGGTGCATTGAAAAAACGTCCAGTCATAGGTTGGAACTATCACGTAAAAGAATTGCATGTCACATACCGCCTGCACTTTAATTATTGGATATATTCGGGTAAGCCACCTTCTGGTGAAATATACAACAAAATGAGAGATACTAGAAGAAGTTTCAAAAATAAGTTAAGATGGTGTCAAAAAAACGCAGAACAAATTAAATTAAATATTTTAGCTCTTAATAGAAAAGAAAAAAACTTTGTTAAATTTTGGAACAACATAAAGAAAATGAACATAAAGCAAAACTTACCAGTTAGCGTCGACGGCTTGCAGAATAAGGTCCAGATAGCTAGTTTATTTGCTGAAAATTTTAAAACTGCTCCCTTGCCTGTTTCATGCTTGCCCACTTCGAACAAGTCTGGTAGGGTAGCTGTCTGTCCGAAAACTACCATTCGCTTTAGTGAGGAAGACGTGGTTAAAGTTATAACCTCTATGGCGCGAGGTAAATCACCAGGTCATGACGAGCTGAGCATTGAGCATTTATTACACGCAGGCGGTATGCTTTGCTCTAAGCTCTCTAAATTATTTAATATGTGTCTCAAGTACTCGTATCTCCCAAATAATTTAATGAAAACGATAATAGTTCCAATTATTAAAAATAGAACGGGGGATGTGAGCGCGTCCAACAATTACCGCCCAATATCTCTGGGGACTGTAATAGGTAAGGTTCTCGAACGACTTGTGCAGCCCGAGGTTTCGAGAAACATTGAGATTGACGACGCCCTGTTTGGTTTCCGTGCCGGTCTCTCTACAGATTCAGCTATATTGACTGTAAAACATGCTGTTGACTACTACAGACGCCGTAAAACGTCTGTGTACGCATGTTTTCTTGATCTGAGCCGCGCATTTGATCTTGTGAACTATGAAGTTCTCTGGAGAAAACTGCGCCACACTAATGTTCACCAAGAAGTTGTAGCACTGTTCGAATACTGGTACGAAAATCAAACTAATAGTGTGAGATGGGGCGACACGACTTCTAGCAGCTATAAGCTAGAGTGCGGGGTACGCCAAGGGGGGTTGACTTCTCCGGACTTCTTCAATTTATATATTAATGATCTGATTGGTGAGCTGAGGGGCACTGGTATCGGTTGTCATATTGGCGATGTATGTGTAAATAATATAAGCTATGCAGACGATATGGTGCTCCTCAGCCCCTCAATCAGAGGTCTCCGTAAACTTGTTTCGATCTGTGAACATTATGCTAATGCTCACGGGTTGAAATACAATGTTGCAAAGACAGAAGTTATGATCTTCAAGGCGGGACGGGGTCCGGAGAACGTACCTGATGTATGGTTGAATGGTTCGGTGCTTCCGGTTGTACAGCAATTTAGGTATCTCGGGCACATCCTTACAGAGAACGGAAGGGACGATCTCGATATTGAGCGAGAGAGGCGGGCATTATCGGTGAGGTGCAATATGCTCGCGCGAAAATTTGGTAAATGTTGTGATGAGGTTAAATTCATGTTGTTTAACCTATACTATCAATGTTTTTATACTTGCCAGCTATGGGTTGACTTTAATCGTAGCTCGTACCGTTCCATAAGAGTGCAATACAATGATGCTTTTCGTATTCTTATGAGACTACCGAGATACTGTAGCGCGTCGGGCATGTTTTCAGATGCTCGTATATCAGACTTTTATGCTGTTATGAGAAGACGTATAGCCTCTTTTTGGTCACGAATATGTCTTTCTGATAACAGCATAATCAAAACTGTATGCAAAGGACTTGATAATCCTTTATTCAAATACTGGATTTCAGTGCACCAGAGTGAGAACCGAAAATGACGTAGGTAATATTATACCTGTTTGACTTTTACTGTCTTTTATGCTTTTATGATTTTATTTAATTTTTTATTATTATTTTGTTTACACTTTTACTTTTTTTTTAAATTTTGTATATGACTTTTTATTGGGTTTTTTATGCCTGGAATAAACAATTATTATTATTATTATAAAACTGTAAAAAAAGCTAAAAAACTTGACAGTCATAATCAGTCCATAGGCGTCCACTGCTGGGCATAGGCCTTCTCTAGGAATTTCCAAACACAACGGTCCTGCGGTTTCGGTATCCAGTGGGTCCCCCCAACCCCCAACCCACTTGTTGTCGTGAGTACACCTGGTGAGGGGTCTGTCGACACTGAGCTTACCGGTGCAGGATCGCCATTTAAAGACCTTGGAACCCTAACGTCCATCGGTCCGCTGAACAATATTCCCAGCCCATTGCCACTTCAGCTTGGCGATCCGTTGAGCTATGTTGGTCATTTTAGTTCTACGGATTTCTGCATTCCTCATTCCATCACGCAGAGAAACACCGAGCAGAGCGCTCTCCAACGGACTCTGTGCGACTCTGAGCCTTCTTATGAGGCCCATTGTCAACGACCACGTCGCCACTCCATATGTCATCACGCACTGTTCGAAGATCTTGGTCGTCAGGCACTGACGTATTTCATACGAGAAGACATCGCGAAGTTTCCCCAACGTTGGCCGTTGCCCTGCCGAGTTGGATTCGGCGGTTTACCTCTCTCTCAAAATTGGACCTACCCAAGTGGATTACAGTAGTCCCAGGCTTAATATATTTTCAAAGTTCGCAATGGTTACCGTATGAAGCGCAACATGAGTATAAAACATGATTGTCGACTTACTCATGTTAATTTAAAGGCTGTTAATAGGCTCTGCTGAAGTTGTGCATGTGTGAGATCTCCAAAGTGTCTGCTATAAGCTATAAGTAGATACTTAGAGGCTATAACTAAAACAACTATGTTATCGCGTTTTCGCAAAAATCCTATCTTTTTTCAGTAAGTTTGATCACCATTGTTTAATTGACCGCGTTTTCGCAAAATTCCTAAAATTTTCGCGAAAATTCGATTTATCAAATCATCCTACGACACAAGCTTACACTACTTTATCTTTACTCATAGGAACAATTGAAATTAAACAAAGTAGCTAAGCTTAGGTTAAATTTTGATTTAATCTAGGTAACAAAGGAATACCCATTTTGAAAAACTTTTCCAC